ATGGACTTGGTTCCTTTTCAGAACTTTCGCCAGCATCGTAGCGAATCTTGTCATTCTCAGCACCGAGCTAAGGCTTGTCAAAGAGACGAGTGAGTCATAGAACAAATGTTCGGCGGAAAGCCGGAAAAGGGATAGACCTTTCTTTTTACTTTGATAAATTATAGTTTGGTGCAGAGAATGGCAATGCTTACTAACGATGCCGAACATGGTTTAGGCGAAAATTCTGTGAATGTAGCAAGTCCACGGTCCGACACTGGAAATTATGAAGAGTATTATGGCAGAGAACTTCAGACAAGGTGCATCCAACTAAGTTTCCTTGATAGCCAAGTTTCGAAAGCGAGTTTAGATCAATTTAATATCTAATTAGTCAGTAAAATAGTATAATAGCTTTTAGATGTGACTTACTGTGAAAATATCTAAGCAAATTGATACTGAAATACCGCAAACCATAAGATGTTGACGAGTGAAAGAACATTCAGTTGCAACTATTTTGAAAATTTTTCTTCTAAGCTTGACAAAATTTTATAGCCAAAACGTAAGGCAGCGTGTAAGCAACTAACTTTCATTTTGCTGTTAAATATGTAATAACTAATAAGGCAATTATTTATGCTGTCTTACTTAAAAATTAGAGTTCAATGCTTTCTTTGATCTGAGTCATTGTGAATTTATTTCATGAATAGAGTAGAAATTTGGCCATTTTAAGGGTGCAGGCTATGAGTTGGAGCTTTAAAGAAGAGTATTGGTGGGGGAGAATGAAATTCCAAATTAAATCAAATTGAGTTTGAAGCATCGGGGTCAAAGAAACATTAACTAAAAGTTGTATAAATAATGCCAATTAATAATGCCAATTAATAATGCCAAATCTATTTAAATATATGGCAAAATGGACTGTAACTGGATTGTGCAATATCATTTAATCGTTCGATTACCTACAACATTTCAAGCCCAAATTATGTAATACTAAAAGGACTCAAGCATCATTCTCATTCTATTATTTCGACAGAGTTAATCTCGTTAAAGGGACTTTCATTTCATATGAAAGTGAATGAATAAGAGATTCATTCGTCGATCTCACAAGAGGACGGATGCATTTCATTGTACTGCAGCTGTTTGGCTTTTATACGATGTTCATGTTGACGCAGTCCACTAGAATTTCTCCCTCGTTTCAGGTGAGAACATGCTGAGCTTTCATCCATCATTTGATAAATATCATCAGAGCTGGGTCTCATTTTTGTAAAAGTTTCACTTTAACACTAGACCAAGAAGAATATCCAGCTCTATCTTGCTTCTTATATAGACTCAGCTGAGCTGAAATAAAATAAAAAAAACTAGATCAATTTAGATTAGTTTGGTTACTTATCTTTCATACTGGTCCTGCTACTTTTTCTCGAGTGTATGTGTGTGTATGTTATTATCTCTGTGCAATAACGGTCCTAAATTAGAGTTGGCAAAGGTTTAATCTCAGGTTCTGATCCTCAAGGCCTAATGACACAAGA